ATTGTTTATTTTTGAGTTTTCTTTCGACTCTCAGTTTGCTTTCCTTTTGATTACTGTTGTTTTGCTTTTCCAGACTGTTACACTTAGTGGGGGTGATGAGGTTTTTACTCTGCCACGTTTGGCTCATGTAGACCCATGATATGATCAGCGAATCACATTGCTTTTTTTAAGGTAAGTGATTCTCCAGCTGGTTCGAGGGTTGGTGGTCAAAAGTGCTTACTTTGTCATGATTGTCCCGTGCTGAGTGTTTTATTACCAATATAAGTCTCCCAGTTACAAAAAAAATAGAAAAAGTAGTGAACAAAATTAAATGTGATTTCGATAACTGTAGTGATCATATTTGAATTCAAATTTTACATTATAGTGACTAAAAAACTTACACTTAATAACTTATAGTCACATTTTTGTATGAGAAACACTTTTAGTAAATGAAAATTAAAAGGGCCATAAATTTGTCTCACATGGTTTAGGTTTAGTAATTATAGGGCACACATAAAGCAATTTCCTATTTGGATATATATTACTCATTTGATAACAATGAAATTGACTGAATCAAATAAATCTGTTGAAATAGTGAAATTTTGGTTGAAGTGACTCAAGCCAATTCAGCTAGAAAATCACTCCAACCTGAATTATTTTAATCCTATCTAAATTCAACGCGCGAAGTCAAAATTATGCAATTGGTTAAAAGAATTTACCCAAGAGCTGAAAACAAGGGTCGCCAAATGGTCTTTTAGATTAGCACTATATTTGGCAATTAGAGCTGTAGATGAAGGCTAATGTCTAAATTAATGTCTATTATATGAACGCAAGACTATTTTCTGAAGCTAACTTTTGAAATGATGCATTTGAACTATTAGTGGAATGAGGTAAATCTATTTGCCAAAAAGAGTAGAAAATGCCCAGATAATACGACCAAACTAGATCAGATCAAATAAGATCAAATCAAATGACATCATAACAGAAAATTTCAGTTCAATTAAAAACAAAGAGTCCTCCATAATCTTTAGAACTTCATATTAGATTAGGATAAATATGCCGAAACATTCTACACATTCTAATATCCTATTATAATCTTAATAAGAGTAATAAAGATGTTTTTAATTAGACATTTTTAAAGTGTTCATGAGTTAATTAGCTTATTATGGAGTTAATCACCATGCAAGCAGAAGTGAGATATGCATAGGAATTAAAAACTATATTATTATGGAGTTAATCATTCATATTTTAAAAAATATTCACGAGTACATTTTCATTTGTCACCAAAATTGAGATGATGACACATGATTGGGTACTAAAGTGTAAAAAGGGATTACAAAAATAATACATATAATCTCAAAAACTAATTCCTTAATTATGATCTATTTGAGAAAACAAATCTTAAAAACGTTTCAAAATCATGAATATGAATTTTATTCATGTGTGAATCTTTTTAATGAAGTTATTTAGCTATATAAGTCAATGTTTCAAAATAAGGATAAAATGTGTTTAATAGCTCCAAGCCACCAAATTTTCAATGAGATGTTGAGTTAGATTAGAATTGCCTAGCTCATGGCTCTCATTTTTCCAAAAATAAATTGCATCTATACAACTTTAATTATCATAAGGATCATACATACTATAAGTTCAATAACACTTATTAATTTACTTAGTAAATTTATATTACCCTCAATAATTAATCTAATGAAGAATAAATCGATCGTTACCAATCACAACAGGCAGCGTGTTACTGCCGCCATCACCTTTATAATAGGAATGCCACAAAATTATATATTCTATGCTTTTCTCAAACAAGGAGATTGAATGACTAATTTGCAAAATTCTAAAACCTAGAACGGCTAATAACTTCAAAAACAAATTGACTGCACCCATTTTAAAATTCATAAATTACCAAAACGTGTAGTTAGTTTTGAAAAACAAAACAGTAAGCCACGGATGATGAGCCTGTTTGGTGACACTGTTTTTCGGCTTATCAGCCAACTTTTTCACCAAAATACATAATTTTTTATTTCACGCACTGAGTTTTGTAATACTAAGTGTTGAGATATATTATCCAGGCCTACCACTGTTCAGGAGACCAAGGCATTACCTAGTACGGAGCCCGATCAGCCAGGCCCGTTTCGGCCATCTGGCCCACCTTGGCCCGGCAGGCCCATATTGGCCCGTTTAGCCCATTAGGGTGGAGAGCACCCCTTCCCCTTTCCTCTATAAATAGGAGGATTTCCCTCCTAAGGAAGGATCCGTTTTTCTCTTCTTCCTCAACTTTATTTTTCTCTCTAGCTAGCTCAAAGACTCCATTAATGGGAGCTCAAGATGTACGTTATAATGGTGAGGAGAGTATTAATGAGAATGAGAGGATTTGGATGTTAGCATAAAAAGTCTCGTGATTTTCTCCCTTTCGGATTTGCATGTAAATATCGAGTGTTCATACCAAATATATCTATATTTACTATATCGTGTTGAATGAAACTCAACACTAAGAAAAAGTAAGGTTGAAGTTACTTTTCTGACTGCATTGGCTGAAATACTGTAGAAAATTATTTTAACTATTTTTTCATGTAAGTTTTTTTATTTTAGTATTAAAATATACTCCCTCTTTCCATAATTAACTGTCCCTTTAGGCTTGGGCACGGGTTTTAAGAAAAAATAGTAGGAGTATTATGGAGTATGTAGGGTAAATGATAAAGTAGGAAAGAGAGTATATTAAGAAGTAAAGATGTGATAAAATATGAAAGATAGTATATTAAGAATAGTAAAGTGATGATAAAGTAGGAAAGAGAAAGCATTATGTAAAGTAAAAAAGGATAAAAGTAATAAAAGTTGGGGTATTTATCTCAAAAATTGTCCTAATATAGAAAGAAGGACAAGTAATAAAAAACAGATCAAAATGGAATCAGAGACAGTTATCAAAGAATAGAGGGAGTATTTTATATATAATTTTTTCATAAATCAGCAGAACCAGCTAATCTTGTCAGAACTCATAAAATTCAGCAGAATCAGGCGATATTTGTGTTATCAAACGGGCTCGATATTTAATGGATAAAAATATGCATTGAACATTTTCTCTTTTTTTTTTGTTTAGGTAAAGATAGTTGAAAAGATTTATTTCATTTGGATGCAATTGAGAGTTATAAAAAATGTTCTTTCCATTATGAAATATAGATTGCAAAAATGTCTAGATAATTAATTCAAAAATAAGACATACTTTGTATTCAATAAATTAGAATATGCAATACAAACCAACGTTATAATTGACTAAATAAGTGATTTTTCGTTAGTGAAATAAAAAGTAAAATTATTTCTACCCGTGCACGGCACGGGTAAAGATACTAGTATTGGTAATATTAATGGTACGTATAATTTCTTGATTTGAGTAATAAGTTATCAGTAAAGCATGACCCATTACTTGGAATTGTTTTGAAATAAGTTATCAGTAAAGCATGACCCATTACTTGGAATTGTTTTGAAATAATTGATACTCCCTCCGTCTCCTTTTAAATGTCCCGGAAGATGGTGATACGAGTTTTAAGAAAAGTCGGTTTGTGTGGTTGATATTAATTGATAAAGTAAGAATAACGTAAGAATGATTTTGAGCCACACAAACTTTACCAAATAAGGTATGAGACAATTAAATAGGAACATCCCAATATGGTAAAACGGGACATTTAAAAGGAGACGGAGGGAGTAGCTAGGAATATTCAAGTTAGAATATGTAATAAAAATTTATTCTTTTTTATTTTTCCGGTATTTATTGATGACTTATGTAACGAGCATGCAAACAATTGAGTCTCACTTGTTGGTATTAGGTGTTTGGATATAAGAATCTCAGAGGAAAAAACTTGTAATTCATAAATGAGTAATATCAACCCGTTCAAAAAAGAGTAATATCAACATGTTATGATATACAAAATAACACGTTAGAATACAACTTATACAAGATATATATTAAAGTCTGATTAAAATATTATTCTCTCTTCTCTCTCTAGAGAGAAACCCTAGTGGCCCTCTCCCCTCTTTGTAGGGGTTGAGATTTTCCGTCGCCCCTATCAATATGGGGTTGGAGCGGCATAGTATACTGATTTTAAGTGTTCTAATGCTTGTGATTGCAACTACGTCGACGAAAATAGCCTTTGCGGATGAACGATGTGCGGCTAAAAGATTGTATCGAGGTTGGATCGTGAAGCCTTGATTGACCAGTTTGATGGTGGTTGAGTTGGTCTTCGCCCATATTGCAAGAGCTCGTCCTCCCCCGGAACCACCTCCATACCAGGAAGAGCTTTGTGGACAAATTTTATTTGAGTATTATTTTCTCTTTAGTTTCAATTGTTTCAATTTTAGTTCAAGTAGATTTGATTTGATTTTATAGACAGGGTTTCGGCTTCGATCATTTTAGGCCTAAATTTGCCTGTTTTAGGTTTAGCAAGTGATGTTGCATTGTATGAGGTGGCTGACTCTAAGTCTATTCCTAAGGGTTCACGATTGGATCTGTAAATTTTGTTTGAAGGTTGTCTTGTATGTGTTCTTGATTTTAATATAACAGCCGCTCTTTTATGATAAAAAAAACTTATACAAGATATATAAAAATAAGTTATTCAATATCATAAATTGTGCCAACATTTATTCAATGAGATAAAAACACCCAATCATAACCTTTTAATTAATAGAGAGATTGTTATGAACATAAGCTAGAAATCTTACTTGTTGCCCACATAAAAAACAAATTCAAAATTCTCATATATCGTTGAAGTACACACCCACATTCTAATTTTAGAGGCTTTGAACACAGTATGCATATCATTAATGTCAATTGCCAATACTGTGTACGAAACAATGACCATTAAGATAAAGACCCCAATGGCTCAGAGGAAATCAAGTGAACAATTTCTACACAAATTAATATTAATACATTAGTATTAGTATTGCTTTTAACAGTAATTGGCATTGCAATATTGCACCTCATATTTTATTTTCTCTTAGGCTTCACACAGCACATAGGCGCATCCTAATGCACATTGCTTACATTAGACTTTGCACCCAATGAATTAAACATGATATTAAAGTTGCACCCATTGCTATAGGGTGCAACAGTCAGTCTCACAGATATTATCATATTAATCAGCGTGCCAAGTTTGCTAAGTCATATATTGGGGTAAACATGGGCTCAATGTGCCAAATTCACCTACTAATTATTTGTCACCGCCTCACCGGGCAGTAATTTGAACGAAAACAAGATCCATATAAGTGATGTCCTAACCAAACACGTTATAATGCACGAACATTAAAAGTCATCACACAAATGGGCAAAATTTAGAGATGAACACATTCAAGAACTCTTATTCAGCACAAAACTAAGTACGTAATACTAATTATCAGTACAAGAAAACTACTTATTAAGTTATGAGCACAGAATAAAAAAAGGAAACAAACAAATAACCGAGGGAAAAGGAATGAGAGTCAAAGAATGAAGACCACCCTGGAACATCTGAAGTTTCTGAACTTTTAAGAAAATGGTGTCTTTCTTTTCTTCCAAAGTGTAACACACAACTTACAATAATGTAGTAGTTGTTACCCACAGTTTTGCTTTTTAATCTGCTCTGGACTGGCCAGCTCTAGAAGACAAGATAATGCCAACAATGAGACCATAAAGTGCCAAAGCTTCAGCAAAAATAAGAATAAGGATCATCCCAACAAATAGCTTGGGCTGCTGTGCGTTAGCCCTGCAAATTAAAAGAAAATTGTGAATATTTATAATTTAATATTAAGTTTGGGCTATCTCATCTTAAAGGGATCCTTAAAATGTGAGGTAATCTCACACTTGCACAATAGAAAACTCAAATTAAATAAACATCTTACAAGGGGCATTTGATTTAATCTATACTCTATTCTTCCTAAAACAGAAGTTCGTTCGGGTGTTCTAAAAATTTCTTTCTGTAACATTTTAAGAAAAGAATTGTGTGGTTGATATTGTTTTCAGCTTTTCTAGATAAAAAACTAAAGCACGTAGTTTTGCTTTCTTAATAAGTGCCAAGTTAAGGTGAGAAGAAAAATTCAGGAAAGGGGCAAGCTTATGCATTAAGATTGAAATAAGCAACTTATAATTCTTCTAGAAATGGTTCCACATTGCTATGCGAGAACTTCCAACATAATGTACTACTTAGGGAGTGTTTGCAATTACTTCTACTTTAAAAAGAGATTTTTAAAAACAAAGTGCTTAATAGTAAAAAATTGTAGTGTTTGAGAAAATATTGCTATTGAAAAAGTAAAAATTTGTATTGTTCAGAAAAAATGTGCTATTTGTGTAATAGAAAACATGATAAGAAGTTTAAAACACCCCTGCACCTGCTTCCATCTTTTAGCTTTTAAGTGCATAATTTAAGAAGAAATTGCCATTTGAAAACACTCAATTCAGTTTTTTTTAAGCGAAAAGCAAGAAAAACACCTTTTTAAGTGTTTGCGGACACTCCCTTAATATAGAAGATTAACCAAGTCAGATTACAGTATGACATGAATGATGAATCCCAGAGTAATGGAAGAAAAAAAATTATTGAAGTAAATGCAAGATAAAACATGCCAAATAGAGCCATTAATAAACTCTCAGTATGTAAATCTTGATTTGATTTGGTAAGCGCTAAATATTCACAAATTGCACGCATATAACCCAATGACCAAATACTACAAAAGAGCACACCTTCCTGAATCCAACTATACCCGGAAACCTAAACATTTGCTCTTCTTTATCGGCAATTCACAACCTATTTCCCACGCATTCTTATCCTAATAAAAGAATCATTTTTTATCTAATGAAGTTATTTTTTCATGTAATTGGAAAAACATGCTAAAAAGAGTCATACGCAAAAGTTAGATATGATCATCAGGTTGTTGATACAAATTTTCACTCTTTTTCATCATTATGTTCTAAAGTATCTCTTAATCTTTGACATTCAATTTTTTATCTCTGCAATAGAAGCACTCTTGCACCAAATGTTCAAATCTGCAATTTCTTCAATAACAAAGCCAATCCATCCAAAATAAGAACTATTACTATGGAAATTGCATTCTAGATTGAAGTAATTGCATTAATTTTGTTTCAGAGTTTTAGGCAGTTGCATTGAGAGCAGAAAAACGACAGCATGGGTGATGAATGTATAAAACAATAACCTGACACCGGCATCTCCAACAATTCCAATGGCCATTCCAGCAGATAGGCCAGCAAGGCCACAAGCCAGACCGGAAGACAGGTGAGCGTACCCATCGAACAGGTAGTAGGATTTGGTTTTAGGGTTAATTCCGGTACTGATGATGACAGCAATGATCAATCCATAAATACCTAGCACACCAGCCATGACAACCGGGACGATTGATTTCATCACCAGCTCCGGCCTCATCACACCCATCGACGCCACTCCAACCCCACTCTTCGCTGTTCCATAAGCTGCCCCCATGCCTGCAAAACGAATCAATTGATTAATCGATCGATCCAGATCCAGATTAGATGCGTATCGAAGCAGCATAGAAAACTTCATATGCGGGTAGAAATATGGTGAACGACAGAAAGACGCGTACATGAGAAGACCAAAGCGGCAGCGGCGCCGAGGAAACCGAAGAATGGAGCAGTCTCATCGCCGCTGAAGGTCGAAGACATTGTTCAGATCTTTTGAGCGGATTGGGATCTGAGATAGTCGATCTCTTGCTAGCTCTGGTCTTTTTCTCTTTTCTTTGCTTTTGTCCGTAACGATTAAACGGATTGGTACCGCAGGGTTGGGGATTGAACCGGACGATGTTCTCAACTCACAACTTCACAAGACTAAACACGTGATTTATATATGTGATTCTAGGGCTGAGCATATTGATTTTCTGTTCGGTTTTTACGGTTTTGGTTCGGTTCGATTTAGAATGGGTTGGAAGAATTATTACCAAGCAAAAATCATACTCCGTACTATTTTTCAATTTGGTTCGGTTCAGTTTAGGTCAGTTTGGTTTGGTTTGTATTTGTTAATTTTTAATAATTTATGAAGGATTTTTTGAATTTCTTTAGTTCGGTTCGGTTTTGTTCAGTTTTTATCAGTTTTGGTTCGGTTCTGTTTAATACGATTTGGAAGAAATAGTACCAAACTTAAATCAAATTGCATACGGCCCGGTTTTGGTTCGTTTTAATTCGATTTGGTACGGTTCAGTTAAACCAAACCGTTATGCTCACCCCTATGTGATGCCAATAAGATCTCCTTTAGGGGCGTTTGGTTCGAGCCTTATGAGGTTATTAGTATGGTCATTGTTGGTAACTTGGTGTACACAAAATGTGTACATAAATTGTGTATTGTTTATGCACACAAACATTTTGACACAAAATTATGCCTTTTTCCAAATGTATTGCTTGTCTACACAGATAATTATGAGATTTTGCGTATAATTTGTGTATTAATTGTGTGCCTAGTAATTGTGCATATTAACTTAAATAAACGTTAAGTAGTAGTACATCATAATCGGGAGCAAAGCCCCACTGCTTTCACCAAAAACACGTAAAAGGCATAAGTACAAAGATCACTACATCCATATCACACTTACATGAATTATTCAAACTCAAACCTGATAGAGAGTATATTGTGTTTACTACATATCTGTTATATTTGTTAAGTGTATATTTAGCCTCGTCATTAGCCTAATATTTATCTCTTAATTGTAGTTAATCAGTCTTGTATTCATAGCCTAACTTTACGTTTGTAACAGTTGTACTCTTTTACTTAGCTTAAAACAGGCCCCGAGGGCGTGGTATCAGCGTTCAGCTGATTTTGTATTCACTATTGATTTTTCTCATGTTAAATCTGATCATTCCTTGTTCATTTATAAACAGGGTTCAGACATGGCTTATATTCTGTTATACGTTGATGATATTATTCTTACAACATCTTCTGACCACCTGCGGAAGAATATTTTGACTCTCTTGGGCAGGCGAGTTTGCTATGTTGGTCCTTTGACCTATTTTTTGGGCATTGTTGTCACAAGTACTCCTCACGGTATGTTCTTATCTCAAACACAGTATGCCACCGAAATTCTGGAAAGAGCCGGCATGTCTAATTGCAGCCCCTGTCACACACTTGTTGACACTAAATCTAAGCTCAGTGCCTCTCAGGACACTCCTTATGAGGACTCAACTGAGTATCGGAGTCTGGCTGGTGCTCTACAGTATCTTACTTTTACTAGACCAGACATTTCTTATGTTGTTCAACAGGTTTGTCTCCACATGCACCAACTCCGGGATGAACATATGAATGCTCTTAAGCGCATTTTACATTATTTACAGGGCTTGGACTACACCTCTCTAAATCTTCCCTCACTAAGTTAGTTTATTATACTGATGCTGATTGGGGGGATGTCCGGATACCAGACGATCTACTTCTGGTTATTGTGTATTTCTTGGTGACAATTTGGTCTCTTGGTCGTCCAAACGACAACCAACCTTGTGTCGTTCCACTATATTAGTGACTTTTAGTTACTATGATTATGTATAATTATATACATTTTAGTGACCGTGAAATCAGTGCAGTAACTTTAGTCACATATCCCACATTGATTTTATTTGAATAATATTAAAGAAATGGCCTAAAATAAGAGTAATATAGTAGTATAAGGGAAGCGTAAACCCAATACTTCGTGTTTAAATTTCCCTAAATAAGAGTAACATGCTGTGTATGAGCAAGAATATCCTTGTATTTAAGGTTAAAGGTTAGAGTTTAGTGTTGGGGTTATGATGGTGGGATTGGTGGCTGAGGCCGACAACAGTAGTCCGATGACCAAGAGTATTTTCAGACTGTTTTTTTTGGAGTGTTTTCAGTCACAAACCAGACAAGACCCGATTTGAACAATTATAAAATACACAGAGACCAGACAATTACTAGACCAGACATTAACAAATCAGATCAAACCAGACCCGAAAAAAATTATACCGAGAACACCTATTTTTATTTGTACGTCGTATTACATCTGTCCCATAAAATAAGAGTACATCTATTCTTGTTTGGCAAATTTTCTGTTTTGATTGTTCCAAAAAACATTGTTATTTCCATTTAAAGTAACAAACATGTGATTACCTTTATTTTCCTCTCCCATGCATAAATTTCAATCACATAATTTTTGCTTTATTACTTCATATTTTATATATAAATCAAATTTAGGATGTTATTATTTGAACTATTTCCAGTCCAGGACCAGACCAGACTTAAACATGTCCGATTAGACCAGATCAGACTTAAGCATACCAGATTAGACAAAATCATACTTCCGTAGTTTTAAAATATATAGATACCAAACATTTATCAAATTAGATCAGACCAATTCCGACCAGATTAGACCAATTAGATCAGATTTAATCGGAATAAACCAAATTAACAAATTTTAGTTCGTAAAAACATCTTTATGGGAGGGGGGTATATTTTAGGAAAAACTGATTTAATTTAATTCAGTCCTTACCGGCCGGACAAGTGCACAAGAGTGGTGGCGACAAAAGCTCGCGCGATTCACTCAAAGCAGCTTGTTTTTTCCAAGGGTTTCTTCCACTTTTCCGGCAGATTCTGCTTCTCTCCGACCTCCTTCCTCACAGTAGTGTCCCGGTAAGCTGTTCCCAACTTGCGGTGGTTGCCATTTTTTATTATTATCACAGCTCACGAGTACCACTATAACTCTTTGGCGGTACAGTTTACTTCTCTGGAAAATCGTATTGATGTACTGCCTCGTGCCCTTGAGTGTTCAAAGACTCTCTCTTTCTCTCAATTTCTATTGAGGGGATATCTCCCTCATACTATGTGTGTTTGATTTATCGAATATGTGTACATCTCTACCAACAAGCGGTGAGTTTTTGTCTGCAAGCATAAGAACCAAGGACTCAGAAGGTAAATTTATGACACAGAACAGCTAGACTTATATTAGTTTTGTTTTCTCGTAATATGAGTTCTATTGATAACTGCTAACACCAATATTGGGTATGAAATGATTTTGGAGTTGACTTAGATCCTAATATGATCTGATGGTCTAATAGTTGAAAGGCTAACTTGATAAGGAGGCATTTTTAAGCAGTGGGCTAAGTATGTAAATCGTTACTAGGGCAAACATTAGAGTAGGAATTACTCCGTATGATTCTAGATTTGTTATCAGTCCTGAACTAGTAGTATCATTATAAAAATATATGCTTCCATATTCTAAATATTTTGTCTAATAATTTTTGTATAAATACAAAAATATAATCCACCATTACTCGCACAATTCATTACACATCTAAAGAGTAAAGAGTATCTCATCATCTAAGCAATTTTAACTTCTTCATTTGGTTCTAGACTGACACCATCTTCATCTTCCTCCCATCTCCACACAAAGATGTTCTGTCAGGATTCATAGTATTACAAAATGTTTAAATCATTAAATCTTAAACTAATGTTTAACTAGATTGAAATCCCTATGGCCTTTTTAATCCCATAATGACCCATTTATTATAGGGAAAATGGAAACTAATAATCCAACCTTTTAGCAGTCTTCTTACAATAGTCCCACCTTTTCGTTATTCAAGAATAATCTAACATTTGCATCTCATCTTTATTCGCTGGTCCCTGACCGGTTAATGACCTGTTATTCCAAGTGATTTTCTTATCTTTGCAAAATATTACCTTTGTAAAAGGTGAGATTTAATGTATAATGGTTTGCAAAGATAAGAAAATAACTTGGAATAGCAGGTCATCAACCGGTCAGGGACCGGTGAATGAAGATGAGGTGAAAAGGTTGGATTATTCATGAATGACGAAAAGGTGGGTCTATTGTAAGAAGGCCGCTAAAGGGTTGGATTATTAGTTTCCATTTTTCCTTTATTATATTAAACTTTCATCTCAAACTATTGACAAGTTAGGATGTTTTCTTTTGGACTGACATTTGCTGGTCTGTTAAACGTCTGGTCTTTGTGTATTTTATAACTACAGAAGTCTGATCTGGTCTGGGACTGAAAACAGTCCAAAAGAAAACATACTAAAATTGCCTTGTACTTGCACATAAAACACTTTTTTGAATTTGACTTGATAGTTAGAACATATCGTATTTATTGAAGTGTCACCTAGGCGTTGACTAGGCGCAAGTGTCCTAGCGATGGAGATGCGCCATTCTCATTTGATTGGCCACAGTGCTAACCGACTTACTGGCGATGTAGAACTAGCATATATCTGACATTTGTTTATCACTTTATCCACATGCATTTTGTACTTTTCATAAAGAATTGCACCTTAAACCCTAGACAACACTTTAGTGATTCTTAAGTTGTAGCGATTTAATCACATACTGGAAACTTTGGATATTTAGATTGGTTGGAAGTGAATCAGTAATGCTGTGTTAGTTAACTATTTGTTTTGGATTCTCTCTAATGCATACATGCTTGTCCCATGGTGCCATGAATGTTTGTTTGTTTGAAGAAAAATGTACTTAAGATACTGATTAGAAGTAATGAAGAGTGGACGATAGAAAAGCTTATTTACACTATGGAAAGTTTTGCTTACTTCTAGTTATGCACTTCCGCACGCAATAGGTTAGTTAAGTTGGATCATGCATTGAAGGTGGTGAGTTGGCCCGAACAACATCACATTATGGAAGACCCACCAGAGGCCTTGCAGGTCCTGGTTCCTCTAGTGGTATTTGAACTCTGGTTGCTTGGGGGGGGGGGGGGGTATTTAGCAAACCACTTAGTGCACATTTCATACTTCTCATATTTAGAGTAATGAATGCTAGTCATGTTCTAAAAAGTAAATAGTCATCTCCAGTTCCTTATAATAATGAAGCCTTACAATGCACAATTACCTGGTGACAGAATGCTGAATTCTTTGTTCGGATTGTCTACAATCATTATTAACTAGTCTGGAGAAACTCATTTACCATATTTTTGTTTTCTAAAATGCTATTCTGGTTTGCACCTTGAGGCTCAATTCAAGGGGGAACTTTAGAAAATAGCAATAACTCTGAAGTGTCCAGGCTTTCATTTTTCCTTGCTATGCAGAAAGCTTGCACCTTAACCAGGTGAGGCTTGCACATCATGGTGGACTTAGGAGGGTTACACCTATAATGTCATGGAAGTATTAATCATTTTATATGCAATAGTTTGCTATTCTTACGTAGTTTATCATAACAAGACATTTTTTTATTACAAACAAAGTTAAGATGCTCTTGCTTATGGTTTCAAAAAAATCTCAACCCATGTAAAACTCTAAACCTTTGTTTGCTATCTACTTAATTGCTTTCTAAATCCAACTTCCTTATGCTCAACTGTGAGTTTACGTAGACCGTTTTTTTCTTGCATTTGCAAGTTGCAATGGACTCATCTTCTGCTCCACTGCTGGTTGTTCTATGCCTTTATGTGTTGAAGAGTTGACTTAAACATGTGATTATTTTAATAAATTTAAAATCCTATCATGCAATTATAGATTTTAGTTGCAAAGTCATAGTTATGAAGATATTTGACTTTAGTGATTTTTACATAATTATGTTCTATGAATTTTTACTGAGTACGATAGTCTTACACATTAGGCCTACGTTCTATTGGAGGTATTTTTTGTGTGCTCCACTGCTCCTGCACTAATTCTCTAATTGAACACTTGCACCTTTTTCCAAATGATATGTGATTCCTGGGCAGATATCAAGTTTTACCGTGTATAGACTTTGCTTAATAGGAATACTTGCTCTTGAATTACTTGCATCAATATGGATGATTGTGATCGAGAGAACAGGCGAGACAGGATAGATTGCTACATAGGAGGTGGTCACCCACAGGTAATCTGCTGGAGTATGTATTAAGACAAGTCCATATGCATTTGAATTGTTTTCCTTATGAATTAATGGTCAGGGCTTTTGAGTTTTGACCATCTCAGGTCCAAATGAGCATGTCTTATATCTCCTCTAAGTACACTGACCAAGTCTTTTCTCACTTATTACTTTCATGACTCAGTGGAGCATGGTTTCTCAGCATCATCAGATGAAGGAACAGAATGCTTTTCTTATGAACCTGAAGCTGTTCTTTGCTGAAAGGGATGCAGCCATTGAGGAGCGAGACAGAGCTCTTGCCGAAAAGAAAGCAGCTACAGAAGAGCGAGACATCGTCATCCGTCAACGAGATGCAGCATTTGCTGAGAGAGACAATGCTTTAAGAGAACGTGACAATGCGATCGCGGCCCTCCAATTTCAGCAAGACAACAACACCAGCGCTGGATTTAGTTACAGAATGTGCGGGGCAAAGTGCCAAAACACGCCCCACGTGACTGATGCAGTCCCCATATCCGCCATCTCATCCGAATCCATCAAACAAAGGAAACAATCTAAGAGTAGCTCACCGAAAACGGCAAAAAGGGTTGGTGAGGATTTGAATAGGCATGTCACCACAGACGGATCAAAAGCTGAATGGGATGCTCAGAACCAGGGTGGGTTCACCGTAAACCAGATCAGTTTCAACGAGTCCACAATGCCAACCCCAGTCTGCACATGCACCGGAGTACCCCGCCAGTGCTACAAGTGGGGCAGTGGCGGCTGGCAGTCATCTTGCTGCACTACTTCTCTGTCAGAGTACCCACTCCCGCCACTGCCACATAAGCGGCATGGGCGGATCGCGGGCAGGAAGATGAGCGGGAGTGTGTTTAGCAGATTGCTTACGAGGATGTCCGCTGTCGGCCACGATCTGTCTACTCCCCTTGATCTTAAGAACTATTGGGCTAAACATGGAACAAACCGTTACATTACAATCAAGTGATGCCCATGGACTGCTATCTGTGTAGGGGTGTACATTCATATTAGCTACCGAGTATATATAGTCTTTTGTCTCTGTCCGCAGAAGCAAGCTCATTCATTTGTCTCGGTCATCATTAACAGTGTTGTTTCTGTGACACATCCGGCAGAGGTTTGAGATTGTAAAGTTTTGCAAATGCTACCTCATATGTAATCAATGGCAGAAATAGATGCGTATTTATATGAGATCTATACTTGATTTTATTTTATTGCTTGTAGCAACCCGAATACTAGTTCAATACTGGTACTAGATCTATAGATTTCTTCAATCTAGTCAAGTTATTATTACTCTATTATTAATTAATGTATCATTATTATAAAACTCCGTCCCTAAATGTAATTTAGCGAACGTCTTTATATCCTGAAATAATGGTAACCCTGCATCTAATAAAAGTTGGAGCATTACTGTTATTGTTTTATAGATATATATTTCGAGAACATTTTTTATGGACAGATTCCAGAACACTTTTCTTAAAATTGTCTTGATTTAATCATGACAAATTTGGAGGTTTAATGTACCAAACCTTCTCTTAATATATAAATTTACCACATTAACCCTCATGTGATTTAATTGCATGTCGTTATGTTATAAATATTTATGCGCATAACTCCCTTTATGAACAAATTTATTTGTCAAAATACATGGTAAATGATTAGTATTTTGGGAAAGGGAAATTGCCCTAAATAGGAGTAAATGAGGTTTGAATTTTCAAAATAGGATTACTATTTTTTTATATCCGAAATAGAGGTTCTTACTGTCATGCATGAAAAATACTGCCATGATTGAAAAATACTGTCATTAATTATAATAAATATTGTCATGTTAAATGCACTATACTGCAACTATTTGGCAGTCACACCTACAAGATGGCAGTAAATGCTGTCATGTTAGTCCTATTTTGGGAATAAAAAAATAGTAGTCCTATTTTGGAATTCCAAACTACATTTACTCCTATTTTAGGAAATCTCCCTTTGGGAAAACTACGGAAAATGTACTTGTGGTTGTGCCCATTTTCAGATAGGTTCATATGTTTCATTTGTTATCAAAGTAGTTCATGTGTTTGAATTCCGTTATCACAAGAGGGTCCTGACGCCGTTAAAAATAGCCGAAGGAAGACGATGAACAGTTACTCCCATTTTCAAAAGTGTCCAAAAATTTACAAGAAAAATACCGGAAGGTGCGCCTCAACAAGACGACTGCTAGACCATCCTTCTTTTTTGTTTTCCGTCACCCTTGTCACCGGAAAGTCCACCGTAAAAGTGATATTAGCAAATTCATTTAAAAAAAATCCAAACAGATCCGAAAAATCCAAAGGCAAAGGTGATTTGGAGGTCATCTTGGTGAGACGCACCTTTCGGTATTTTTCTTTTAATTTTCAGGACATTTTTGAAAATCGGAGCTACTTTTTTTATCGTCAAAACCAACAAATATATTAAATCAACATGACGTCCGTCACATGGCTGATAATACAATCAAAGAAAAACCATGAAACAAAATGATAAGAAGCCTTTTGTCTGTCGTCCGCCCTCGAACCAGACTTAGAATCTATCACATCTGTAGAAGCAATAATATTCGTTGATCTTGTAATGGGCTTAACTGAGCCAATGACTGGCAAACCAGACTTCTCATCACCTGACTTAAATTCTAAAACACAAACAGCATAAAGCGGAATTAAAATAGAGTTCACTCATCTTCTTCCAAACCCTAGACTCGCTTGCACTCTATGGCGGTAGCTCAGGAGGGGGACACGCTCGGAGTTACTAATAACCGTCTTCCTCAGGCGTTTTTAACGGCGTGACTCTCTTGCGATAACAGAATTCAAATACATGAACCACTTTGATAAAAAATGAAACACATGACCCTGTTTTTAACTAACCACAAACACTTTTTCTGTACTTTTCCCTAGTATTTCTGCATAATTTAGTTTTAACAAATTTACTTAGCTATTTAATTATAATATTAAAAGAAGTGATTTTCAAATTGTAAAATTTGTAACACAGAGGTTTGACGCATTTTTCAAATGATAGAAATTATTACATCACATTTATATATCGGAGTTTGGCGCACTAATGATATGTTAGTTATTTGAGATTCTCTCTTATGCAGTTATTATGCATGCATGATTATCTCGTGATATTATGATTGCGGATTTGTTTAAAAAAACTACTTACATAGTGATTAGGAGTAATAATGAGTAGGCTAGTAGGCTACAATGCTAGATCAATGAGCCTATTCACACTTTTGAAAGATTAGCTTATATGCCTCCGCGAATTAAAGAACTTTGAGAGAACAACGTAGCCACCTAATAACAACTCAACAACTCGGTCTTGGTTTTAGTACCTATTTAGATTGTGAATTGGGTAAATTACTTTTTAGAAAAACTTGTCATTATAAATAAGATTGCATAGTTACGTTTGGAGATGAAACTAGTAAATCTTGGTTGCCTTGGCCCTTATGGTCCTGTAAATGAAATCATTATATATTTTAGTTTAAATTAAACTTTGTTTATAAAAATGTGACATCCGCGCTTAAGTGTAGTGATTATAATAATAAGTTTAGTAAATAATACTCATTTTCAGTTTATACATTAAAGTGATCATGCAACTGACTCATGTTAATTTTAGTCAACAAAAATTATTTCATTTTTTAGGTACATTTTAGTAATATTTTTGAAAATTATAAGAAGTTCGTTAATTGCTTACCCTCTACATTAATGCTTAATTACTAGAGTTTTTGGAGTTCAGGTATATATTAATTAAGATCATTGAATGATTCAAAAAAGAACGAGAATTGATGCATCAATATTCAATATAGAAAAGAAAAAAATTAAAATGGGAATGGTTATGTCTTGTGTCAATATATAATGATATACTTACATATTTGTGATAAAATTAAAAGTTATTCATAAAAATGTGAATTGACACAAGTAGTGACTTAATTATACAAGTAGTAATTTATGACCATTTTTTATATTTAAGGATCATGAAATTACACTATAGTAATTATTAATCATATTTGTATACAAAAATTTTACTCTATATTTAAATACTTTTTTAAAAGCATGTTCTTGTGATCTGTCACATAAAACTTTGTCAAATTTCTTTATTTAGCCGTTTTAAACAATTGTCATATTCATGTAATAAATATGAACTTAAAATTATTCTTCTCTGTACGAATCTCAATAACACAATATTTATGTTATTATTCTACAAACAAGTCAAATTTGATCAGATTTTGTATGATGAAGTAATAGAGAGAGAGAGTGATCATGTCAAGCCGGAAGGACATGACCTTTTGTTCGGTCCACTCGTTTTTGGGCGGTTTCTGGTGGATTTGTTTGATGAATTTTTTTGAGCATGTTCTTTATGAAGTTTAGATATATTCACCAAATTTCATCAAAAAATTAAATCGGGAAGATAGTCAAATATTTTTTTGAAGATAATTGCGCAAAAATATACATATGAACGCAATTATTTTCAAAAATTTATTTGACTGTCTTCGCGATAGATTTTTTATCTGAAATTTGATGAAAACACTTCATGAAGAAATACTAAAAAAAATTCATAAAAAAATTATACCGAGCATCGTTTCAAACGGCAACGACTGGATGGAGCATCCTGTGTGAAAAGATGAACATGATCCTTTTCATATACTCTTTACGTCCCATTGAACTTTGTCAGCTTTCCCTTTTTGATTGTCCCATAAAATTTCGTCACTTTACTATTAAATCAATTAATTTTTGGTTTTACACATTGTCTCTGTACAAATCTCAACCACATAATTTTTACAATTATTATTTCTTACCTATTTTGCACTTGACAAAGTCCATCGAGACGGAGGTAGTATATCCAAATGAAGGTGAGGAAATAAAATAACATGGGCGGTGACATGCACGTGCCTGATGGGCAATCGCGTGAGAAAAGGCCAAAATATCCCTTGTTGAGAGAGAAAATGATTGCTAAATAATCTGCGGTGATATAGGGGTGTGGGAAATTAAATAAAAATGATTTGCTAAATCCAGTCGGAATGAAATTGAAATGCAGCGAAAATGCAAATCCCCAAGAAATGAAATTCAAATTCACAATAAATGCACGCGTCTAAGTAGTAAAAGTGTGACTGTGTGAGAACGCGATAATCGTACAGAAGTCATGAAATGGCTGTAATAATAGGAGTTGTTAATGTTGAAGAGCAGAAACTTACCTTCCTCCTTTCCTCCTTGTCGTCGACGATTCCGAGAATAGCTTCACACTCATGTCTGGTTTTAGCTAGGAACACACCCCGAAGAGCAGAGAGTGACAGGTAGAACGGAACCTTCTTTCCCAGGCCGCCGGATTCGGTGTCTCCGTCCCCACTCCTTCCCTGAAATGTGGCGGATGAACTGCGCCTTACGTGCGGGGCTCTTCTCTTCTTTGTGAAAGTGCCCGATTCACCCTCAGGTACTTGCGCCGCTCATTTTTGCTTTTTTGCTGCTTTTAAACCGAATTTCAGCGCTTTCGTCATTGCGTTTGATTTTTGTTTTATGAATCTGAGATTGTTTGTCTTTTCTTAGGCGTCCCACTTTTTGTTACTGTAATTCAGGCGCCGCGGAGGTGGAAAGTTTAAGTTTTAGTTGTATTTGAGATCACTGGTTGAGTGTTGTTAGTGGCGTATATATTGTATACGGAGCATTTACATTTCTTCAAGTGTTGGAGTGGAAATATGGGCGGTGCTGAGGAAGTTAATACTGATTTGTTCCAGAGACTTCAATCATCTTTCGGGAAGTCATCATCTTCAGCACTCTCCAACCAACAAGCTGGATCAATCAACCCACTTGACATTCCCCAGCTGAATACTTCCCAATTTCAGATTCAAATGCGGCAGTTCTCTCCAAATTTCTCCGCTGAAAATACAAATAAAAGGGCCGGCATCCCGCCTTCCCATCCTCAAATGCCTCCAATTTCACCTTATTCACAGATCCCGCAAACATCCCGACAGATGAATCATCAGATGGGTGTCCAAAATTTCACCACTTCAAGCTCATTGCCTTCTCATTCGCGCTCATTATCGCAGCCCTCATTTTTCTCCCTTGATTCCTTGCCACCATTAAGCCCCTTGCCATATAAAGAATCCCATTTGACATCTATTTCCGACCAAATGTCAACAGATGCAACGATGGGGGAACGGGATGCCAATTCACATTCTTTATTGCCCCCCTCTCATTTCACCAAGTGTAACTCATTGCGTGCAACAGGAGATAATCTTAGTCTTCCTCCTCGTAAGGCACACAGAAGGTCCAACAGTGACATACCTTTCGGGTTCTCTAATATAATGCAATCTTCTCCACAGCTTATCTCGTTAGACAGGTCACTGTCATCAAAAGATAGTCCATGTGGCAAGCCCATTCAGTTGGTTAAACGGGAAACTAGTGGCAGTGAGAGCAATGGTGAAGGGACGGGGGAGAGAAAATCTGAAGGAGAAGTTGTTGATGATTTGTTTTCTGCTTATATGAATTTGGACACCATAGATGCATTGAACTCTTCAGGAGGCGGTGATGATAAGCTGGGTAGTGAAAACCATGAGGATTTAGACAGTAGGGCTAGTGGGTCAAAGACAAATGGTGCTGATAGCAGTGATAACGAAGCTACAAGCAGTGTCAATGAAAGTGGGAATAGCATGCACATATCAGGAGTCCCTTCTTCAAATGAAAAGAGGGAGGGGGTTAAAAGGAATGCAGTGGGAGACATAGCACCAACCACCAGACACTATAGGAGTGTTTCCATGGATAGCTTTATGGGAAATCTTAACTTCTCTGATGTATCACCGAAGTTACCCCCATCACCTGGAAACCACCCTGGGAGTCTCTCACCTACCAATTCTCTTGATTCAAATTCAAACACGTTTAGTTTGGAGTTTGGGAATGGTGAGTTTAGTGGTGCTGAACTTAAAAAGATCATGGCCAATGAGAAACTTGCTGAGATTGCTTTAACAGATCCAAAACGTGCCAAAAGGTAAGATTAAAACTGTATTTTTGTCTATTATTTTCTTCCAATTATGCAGATCATAGTTTTCTAAATAATCTTGGTCCAGAATTTTAGCAAACCGTCAATCTGCTGCCCGTTCAAAGGAGCGCAAGATGAGATACATTGCAGAGTTGGAACATAAGGTGCAAACGCTGCAGACTGAAGCGACAACATTGTCTGCTCAACTGACTCTCCTGCAGGTGCTCATATTGCATTAATTTAAGCGTTGTCCTTGTTATTATTATTATTAGTTAATAATTTATAATTACTAATATTATGAATAACTGTGTGACATTCAACTTTTCTGTTCGACTAAAATCACCTTTTTTTGTCACTCAGAGAGACTCTGCTGGGCTAACAAGCCAAAATAATGAGTTAAAGTTTCGTTTGCAAGCAATGGAACAACAAGCTCAACTCCGTGATGGTATGATTGTTGCAGGAATCCTGAATAAAGATTTTTGAACTTATGCTGAGTCAGATTTAATCATTGATGGGCTCCAATGGAACTTATGTGGAATTAAACCGAATTAACAAAATAACTCTGCTGTTTTATTGTTTTGCTTTGCTATGCAGTTCTTTTACATGATGTTTTTTTTACACCATGATGTGTGCTTATTTGCTTAATTTTTTGTGGTTGAATCGAATAGGAATGTAAGATACCTGATACATTACAGTAAGACCATCTCGAACTGGATATCACCCATCATAGGGTGATTCGGTGATTCCCTCTCAACTGATGGTGGTTTTTTTCCAACCTTGGCACTATTTGCTGCACCAGAACATCCTATTCCATTCTTCCACTCTAATGGGGATTCCTATGTCTAAGTAGTTTATTCGTTTTTCTCTTTAGCACATTGACCCACACGCATTCTATTTACCCCTTCTGTCACATAATGTACGATATTTGTAAGAAAATAAAGATGTTCTTCATTTTACAGTTTTACCTTTATAAGTAGAAGAAAATACCAAAAGGTGAGACCTACAGGATGAAAAAGGTTAATGATATATAGAAAAGGATAAGTTATGAAGTTTTGGATGGACTAACAAAATTAGTATTGACCGTGAATGATTATTTACCAAGGGATAAATATCTTATTCATAATTTGACTAGACCATGTGGCCTAGGACCCCCTTCCACATGTGGAATATGTCTGGGGATATAAGTATAGAATCTCTAGATACCAAATAGCACAACTTTCTCTGAGGGAGAAAACATTGAAACAACAGGAAGTCAATTTTTTAATGATATCTTAGCATAATACTCCCTCCGAGTGGTTAATATCATAATCAAGATTTGTGGAATCACGTGATTTTAAGATCTGTTTCCTTTCTCTTTGCTGAAGTGGGATAGAAAGTGTTGTACTTTCTTTGAGTTTGAAAAGGTTTGAAATCCAGGTTGGAAGGTTGATTCAATTAGAGAGACAGTGAGAGTGAGAGAGTCTGAAATGCCTTTAAAAATTGTCTTCAAGTCTGGTCGTTTTCTTCCTTAGTTTTTCTACAGTTTGCTCGACAGATTCTTGCTAAGCTGCGACTCCTCTTCTTCCTCTCCCGATTCATGGTTTCTTTTAAATGTTCAAAAGTTCCTCCTCAATAGGGGAAGTCATCTTCCTAATTCAGGTCTTTATTCCTGGTTTTTGTGGGTCATATACTAAACATAATGCTGAACTTATCAAAACTACGGAGTATTAATTTTCTAGTAACACTCGTTTACTGAACATTAAATCCAGATTTGCAGGCAACAGTATTTACCCCAGGAGCAATTTAATACTAGTTCTGCATACTCTGCCGAAACAAGAGCAATAATAACTTGTTGCTTTAATCCATTTTGATTGAGTATAGTTCAAGCACAATTAGTTTGGCCTTTTATTGGATTTATTTATCATTTCTTCTTTGGATGCCTGATTGCCTGCTGCTGATTTTGAAATATAACCCAAAGTTTGATGTTTTAGTATTTTTTTTAATGAGAAGCACGTGTGGGAGTGTAATTGGGAGTGTAACCAAAAGTGTAATTATGTGATACTATACTAATTTCATATCATAATTATTATAACAGCCTTGAACGAAGCATTGACTGCTGAAGTACAACGCTTGAAGATTGCAACGGCAGATCTGAACGGAGAGCATACCAAGTTCCAACAGCTTTCATTGAACAGCCAGATGTTTCAGTCCCACCCTGCTGCTAGGATCAACATGCATCAATTGCACCAACAGCAACAACAATCTTCTCAGCAACAAGCTCAGCAGCACAACAACAATGCATCAGCAAAGCATGACTCAAATCAATAGGCTTTTCATGTTTCAGTCTCCTCAATTCATTCATTAGTTCTATCTTTCCAGGAAAAATGCCAAGGCACCACCACCCTTTACTTGTACACTCTTTGAATGCTCTGCTGAATTTCGGTTACTTATATAAAGTGGCTTTTTTATTAGTAGGGTAGTATATATAAAAATATATTGTTTACTTGAAACTTATGTATCATTAGATGAGACATTTGGTTGAAGGTGAACTCAGATGTTTTGGCAAATGTAGTGATTTGTATCATGGAATGAGACATTTTGCTTGAAGGTGAACTCAGATGTTTTGGCAAATGTAGTAGTGATTTGTATCATGGAATCAGACATTTGCGGTTGAAGGTGAACTCAGATGTTTGGGCGAATGTAGTGATCTTCAGTGGCCCTTTTCTTGTTCTGGGAGTGCATTTTGGATGACTTATTGTTTAAGAATAAGTATTTTTTTAAAGTGAGTTGTAGCGTTACTTTAAAAAGAAATGTCTGACAAGGAAATGAATATAATGCTTTTAGTTCTTACTTAGAATACACGTTTGTCTTTGTTTTAAGAAAGCATAGGGTTGGCTTGCTTGAATCATCCCATACAAACTCTCATTCTCTGGAGGCCTTGATTTTGTCAGGCTGTGCTGATGATGGCAAATTGGCAATATGTTACTAGGCACTAGGCAGATGGCTTGCTGTATAGAGAAAGTTGAGTATAATATGTTGGAAATAGGGAAAAGAGCAACTTTTTAGCTATTGCTTTAATTGTCTACACCACCCTTAATGCAATCAAATCTTTTATCAACCCCAATGTTTCCATTCATTTTAGTGGTGTCCTCAAAATGGATACATCATACATGGCATTGTTTAGATTGGCTTCCAATCCTCTGGAAATTCACGACTTCCCGGTTCTTGATTTTTTGGGTAAATTTAAGTTTGAGGTTATTTATGTAATCTCTCGGTAAACCTTTTTGCTATAATGTTTCTTATCTCTTGATGGATATATAATTAGAGTTTTTGCCATTTGTACTCCCTTCAATATTATTTAAGTAACAATGTTGATATTCAATTTTTTTTTTCCATTTTTAGTCTTTCGACTATCGTGTGAGAGAATCTCACAGTTTTTTACTTCAAAATTTCCCACATTTAGTGCTCTAATTGAAAGACCAAAAGAGCCACTTTTATGAAAGCCGAAGGACTAAACATGAAAAAATTCAAATACAAGTACCAAATGTGTCTTTTGCACGATAAACGTATGACTAAAAATGGAAAAGTTCATAGTCATGTACTACTAAAAGTGTCACTAACAGAAGATCAAAAGTGATTAAAACTCTGATTATATGACCGTCTCAACTGTTTGTTCCGAGGCTGGTCCAACCGTCCAAGATTGTTCAGCATAAAAACATTGTTTTTGAAGGAAGACCAACTCTAGTTTGAATTAGTAGCAGATTAGCAGTTCATCGTCTCAAAACACATAACTGTTGTTTCGGAACACATTAGATTTTATAGATTAACATTCGCACCTCTAAACAAGTGCAACTCACTTCATACTAAATTTGTGAATAAAATAAAGCATAGGAAATAAATCCAGATTCTAATGAGAACCTTATTTAGACTGAGAATGAGAGAGAAGCATTTGTCATGTGATGGTTTTACCATTATTAGAAAATTTAGGTTTATTTATGCCCCCATATTTGTTAGGCCTTGGGGTTATAAGCCAGATCAATCTCATAAATATACACTTCTCCACTCCATAATTCACTCATCAGTTATCACAACTGCAACTCACTTGTAAAAGTTGAGGTCAGCTTTGATTCATGCACTGACGAAAAAGTTAAAACATCTCTTGATCTGTAGCTAGTGGCAACCCACATTCACACACTGAAAAGGAAAACAATAACATATAAGGAGTATGTTGTAGTAAGTTAGTAACATCCAAAATTGCACCCTTGGGGATCTCACATCTTCTGATCAATAATAAAATCTAGCAACAGAATATAATGCCACCAACTCAAATCCAAACACAAAAAACTCCAAGACTTGAACATGATTTGCTTCTCATATTCTTCCCTCTCGTTTAGACTCTTACTTCTACTTCCTCCTTGTTCCCAGTCAACCCATCATCCATAGAGTCCCCAACCTTTTTCACACTCCCCATCGGCTCCACTGGATATTTCCCGGAAAAGCAAGCATAACAAAAACTCCCACTCTCCTCCCCCAAGAACTCCTTTAGACTATCGATGGGAAGAAAAGCAAGTGAATCCGAACCTATAAACTCCCTAATCCCTTCGACAGACATCCTATTGGAAATCAACTCATCCTCACTAGGTGTGTCCACACCATAATAACAAGAAGCTATAATCGGAGGACTTGCGACCCTCATGTGCACCTCCTTTGCGCCCGCCTCTTTCAACAACCTCACGATCTTCGAAGAAGTGGTCCCCCTCACAATCGAATCATCCACCACCACAACCCTTTTTCCTTCCAAGACTGCCCTCACAGTGGCGAGTTTGAGTTTCACCCCAAAATCTCTGATCTTTTGAGAAGGCTCTATGAAGGTCCTCCCCACATAATGTGACCTTATGAGCCCTTGTTGAAAGGGCACTCCGGCCTTTTTGGCATAGCCTAGTGCAGCGACTACCCCGGAATCAGGAACCGCTATAACCACATCACACTCAACAGGGGCCACTGTAGCTAGAATCTCCCCAAACCTGCTTCGAGATTCATACACAGACCTACCGAAAACTACAGAGTTAGGTAGGGCAAAGTAAATATGTTCAAAGATGCAAGATTTGGGCTGGGGATGAGCCATCAAGCAAAGGGATTGAACCCCTTCTTTGTCAACCATTATGACTTCACCTGGATAAACCTCCCTTTCATAAGTGGCCTCTATCAAGTCTAAAGCACAAGTCTCTGAGGCAAAAACCAAAGCACCGTTCTTCCTTCTACCCATCACTAATGGCCTAAATCCATAAGGATCTCGAACAGCTACCAGCTTATCCTCAGTCACAAACACCAGAGAATAAGCCCCTTTGATCTTCTCGCATGCCTCGACGATCCTTAGAATGAAAGGTCTTTGCTTTGATATCGCAATGAGGTGAAGAATCACCTCTGTGTCAGATGTGGTGTTGAATATTGACCCGCTTTCTTCAAGCTCGGCCCGAAGGGACTGGTAATTAACCAAATTACCATTGTGGGCAACTCCGACTGACCCGAATCTATAGCTCGCGACGAAAGGTTGAACGTTTTTTAGCATTGAGGAGCCTGCTGTGGAGTACCTCACATGTCCGATGGCTAATTCGCCGGGAAGCTTGTCGAGTTTTGACTCGCTAAAGACATCTGAGACCAACCCGACGCCTGTGAAGTGCTGGAGAACCTGGTCGTGGACGGCTACTATCCCGGCGCCTTCCTGACCGCGGTGTTGGAGCGCGTGAAGGGCTAAATAACAGAGGCGGGATGCTTCAGGGTCGCCGTAGATTCCCACGACGCCGCACTCTTCGCGGAGATGCTCGTTGTCGCCATCATCATAGGTGAAATAAGAAGCGAATTGATTGCTTGTATGGTCAGTTTCGGTGTTTGAGATGACGTCGGAGATGGGGTTGTCTGCCGCCGCCGTGACTAGGGATTTGAGGATGACGGAGCAAGGTTTTAAAAGGGTTTTATGGAAGAAAGATAATGTCTTTAAGCGTGGATTTCTGTAGAGCGGTTTAGAGGGATCTTCATGAGCGGGCGAATAAGGCAGTAGAACAGCGGCAGCGGCGGCGGCCATGGAGGCTTGCGACTGGTTGAGGATGGATGAAGTATAAATATCCAGAAAAATTGCAGGGCTTAGGTTATAGTCCAACGTGAAGATATACACGCGTCCTTGAGATTGGTTGGTTATGTATAATTCTTACTGGGAAGTGGGAATGGGGTTCTCCGAAGAGAGTCATTGAACCCAACCCGTGTCATCTCACATCAAAAGAATCCGTTTTTTAAACGAAAACATCAAAGTGCTGATATGTGAAAAAAAATATTTAAAATATATTTAATTAATAAAATAAATAAAAAATATGTCTAATTAAATATAGTCATATTTGTTTTCAGTAGTATCTAAATTTAAACTTTCAAGCTTTTGATTAATTAAACATTGATGGAAACTTTTAGAAGAGATTAATTTTTATAATCAATTGGATTTTGATTGTTATGGAGTACATCAAATCATACTTTCATTAACATATAAGAATGTATATATACAAGCAGGGAGGTGGGGTTACACTCGTCGAATGAGCCAATTATATTTGAGTATGAGTTGCGGACTAATATACATCCATAATTACATGACACTCCTCCTTGCAGCACATTGCTAAAAAACATTACAAGAAAAATATGATTTATACATTATTCTCTCTATACGCTATGATAATGTTGTCTCATTAAAAACCTTGTCAAGGAAAAATATGATACTATACATTATTCTCTCTATACACTATGACAAAATCTTGATCAAGGGAAAAAACACAACGTATATATACCCCCTGTTGATTGCATGCATATTTACGCCCCCTCTTGACTACATCACTTTGGGTTTGTTGAAATTAATCTGATCTGGTTACTAACTCTTCATTGTACTCTGTGTATACCTCATTAAAAATCTTGATGGAAAAACTCTCTAGAAAAAACGAATCAAGAAAAAGAGTGCACAAGATATGTAAAACAATGTGTTATATTGACTGTCTCATACTCTGTAGTATGCATCAATTTTGGTGGAGTGATGCGTGTTGCTAAGTTTTTTTATCGTAACAGTTATCACTTTTTTTAAAAAAATAATCTTTGTAGGCATTTAAAGTTGTCAGTTACAAAATTATGTTTTGAATTAGTTTTGCCAAATATATTCAAATTATTCATAATTTTTTTGAGCTAGTTGTGCCAAATCTATGTGATTTAATTTGGTTGCTTGCTCTACTACAAGAATGTGGGGACACGCTGGAGCACCACATACTATGATGGTCAATAAAGCCAATCAAATGGATTGCCAACTTGTGGGAATATATTCAGTTGGTGTAGTCCAAACCTTATCTCTATATGCATTTTCCATTGTTTGTATTTTGCACGTAACCTATAGGCTATAGGTTATAACATCTATAGTTTACAAAAAATATGAGAAAGATATAATGGGGATGTTTTATTTTGAACTAAAATTTGTTGGTCTGGTAAGATGTGATCTATTTAAGCCTGATGTGGTATGATCTGAACTAGTTTGGTGTATCTGGTAAATATCTGGTATCAATGTGTTTTATAAATATCCAACTATCTAAGTCTGGTTTGATTTAGTTTGTTTAAACTTGATTTGGTCTGCTATAGTATGTTTAAGTCAAGTCTAGGTTTTGTCTAAGACTGATTACAGTCTAAAAGAAAAAGGAATTTACACATAGCGCGAAATGGGTTATATCACTAAAATGGCTGGTCCATTGTTTACTTTTAAGGCTTACATATGTTTTAATATAATTTAATGTTTTCTAAAATAATGCTGATTAATATAGTTATAAAATGACAAATATACAACTTTAGAGTAGAACTAGTGTCAAGCCCGGGGCATGCCCCGGTAGGACGTCAATTTGATATAAGTTAAAATGAAGAATGAAATAGATATTGTGAATTATTTATAAGATTCAAAGGAGATTATAATAGATTTTTATTATTAACTAATTTAAACATAACCAATTATAAATGTATGTTTGTTAAATAATTATGTTAAATTATCCATCATCATATATTATATATTTACCCTTCAATCTATATCAAGGTTTTAAATTGTGATCACTTGAATATTGTGGTCGATGCGGTGCAATTTTTTTCAAGTTCAAAC